GGAAATGAGAACAGTTCTGAAAGAACATACCACTTACAATGATATTACCTCTAGGCAGAGTGCCAGTCACAGGAAATTACAAGATAATGCTATTTATGGAGTTATGTAAAGCTAACACTTCCTAATTTAAATTGCTAGAGAAGGGGTCATAATGCCCTATTGAGAAAAAAAAACCCAAAAAACACATCACTGATTTCTGTGCTAAAGTAAATTTGAAATTATTCTTGTGAGCTTTAAAATTTAAATTTTTTGCTATCAAGAACTTCTGTCATCTTAGAGCAGTTGCCCAAATTAAGGAAATATTTTGGGTAGCCATTGACATTGAAGTATTGTATGTAAAATGCTTAGCACAAAAACTTTGCTGATTTTACATTAAATTATCCAATAAATTTAAACAAGTTTTGTACCATTCTGACAATTTTAACTTCAACAAAAGCACACTTGACTAGCTATGAAGGTCTCCGCAGCACAGGAAGACATTTAATTTGAACTGCTGTAGTAAATCCATGTCCTTCACTGACAGTGAAGAGCAGGGAGTGACTGAGAGGTTCTGCTTATCCCAGGCTTTTGTTTAATCACCTAGGGAGTAATCCTGGTGCCTTGAAATAGGTGTCTAGTGTTGCTTACGATGCTTTGAGGTATTCAAAACATTCAGATGAGTCTGGCAGACATAATGCAGAGCTTACAGGAGCCTTGCACTTCCAGATTGGCAGTTGAAAGTCAAACAAGATACCCTGGGCCTTTAAATGTCTCTAGGTACCTCAGTCCCTATGCTGGAGTCACTAGCAATAACACAAGTTAAACCAGTCACTTACAGAACTATACAGCATTAGGAGAGGAGGGCAGCAGTGTCTGTCCTGCTTTGCACTAGGCAACGCTGAGCCGTAGTGAAGGATCTAACCTACTATTTTAGATGTGGTTCTGCCTGTGATTCGCAAGGACTGAGTCCACATGCTGCTAGTATACAAACTCCAAAAAACATAACAGTCCCTGCCTTACAAAGCTGGCAGTAAAGGATCTGAAATTGGACCATATTTAGGCTCTAATTAAATGTACAACTTCAATAAGATGAAGGTAAAATCTGACTACAGAGCAAAAGATGCAACTGGGGTTCTGTCTATCCAGTGGAGAGTCCCTTCAGTGGCAGCAGTGAAACCATCTCACATGCGAGTGAGTCCGGCTACACTGACCCTTGGGGAGGACATGTTCCTATGGGATAAACAAGAACTGTAACATAAATCACCAAAATTGCTGCTAAATCAGGCTGCTATGGGATCACTCGGCCGTAATATCCCCCAGATGCTTCTCTTCGTGTTGCCAAGGGCCTCTTGATGCATAAAAAACAAAGCTAGAGAAATTAGTTCCTAAATGACCTTTCTCTCCAGTGTATTGGAGAAGGGTTAGAAATGGTGCAAGATTTTCAGAGCAATTAGCTGAGATTTTTTCCACCCACACTATCACCGTGGCATACAGCAGCTTGCATCAAGACAAGCCCCTTTTTTTTTTTTTTTGGTCTGCTTCTACCCCTGCACGTGGAAACTGAAGAAAAGAAGATGTGCTACTAGCAAAAAAATGGATGCAATGTATGTCAAAGCTCATTAGAAGCCCAAGTAGGTTTGCATAAGCCCACATACATATAGTTGTGTCCAGACAGCAATTGCTTCCACAATAAATTGACAGCATTGCTTTGATGGTATAGCTTGGTCTCAAGTCCACCGTCTCAGGATAACAGTGTTTTCTCTAAGAGATTAGGAGGTTGCTTACTTGGAGGCTGTTACTGAAACAACTTTAACAATGCTTGTGCTTTTTTCCTGTTCTATATAATAGAAAAAGTCTAGAAAGAAAATTTAATAGAAGTTTAAACGAATGCCATTTTTGTAGTAATAAAAATGAGTCTTATTTTTCAATAAAATTGTCTGATTTACTGAAAATCAATTATAATGTTTGTTTGATCTATTATAAAACAGGATTGACCTCCATGCTGATTTTATTTGCTTGTTTGAAATATCAGGTATTTAAATGTCAACGGTAGAAGTATTAATAACAGAAATACTACAATTCATGGTGGTGGTGGTGATTGCTGGCTTGGAGCTGGGCAAAAGTACAAAATAAAATTTATTAAGTTATCTTCTTGTACCACTTTTAAGTGTGTCCCTGGGGCTGTACTTTTGTAAATCTGTTCCAGATGGAGGCCAGGAGTACCCCATTTGCCAGGATAAAGGTTCCTTAGTCTGTAGCAATCTGACATTAATTGAGTCATCACTGCCCTAGGATTCATTTGGTTGTGAATTCAGTGATATGCCTTGACTTTTTATGTAGGTGTTTATCACTGTCATTAATTTACTGGTATTCAGTTTAACTTCTACATTGCACACTACAGCATTCAGCAAGTTGTTACTGCCTACAAATAATGTGGGTTAGCAGGAGCACGCTCTTTTTAGAAAATGGGAACACCTCCCAGCAGAGTGACATACGGTCACAAGGGATCAATTCGAAGTTGAAGTCTTCAGAAAAATATATTGGAATAGTCACAACTTACAACTTTGTTTGGGTAAGTAACAAAATAAAAGCACATGATAGAAAACCATTTCAGGAACTGAAATTTTAAGGAAAACAATTAACAATGTGAAATTTGTGGTGAGCTTACAAGAACAGGTAACAGTTACATTTTAGTACAGAGTACCTTCCATCATCTGGGAGGCATTAGAAATAAGATCTTCCTTTTGCCTTTTACCAAGACAACATAATCTGGCATAACTGAGTGGAATGAATCATAGTTTGTTATGCATGCTTGTCCATGCTTCATGTTGCCTGCATGTCCTTCACCCACTTATGGAATATATTCTGTTTCTTTCAACTCCAGCTCTTCCCTGTTTCCGTTTTCATTTCATGGAGTAATGGGGAGAGGTCTTTCAAAGTCTCTCCTGTCGTTCAACCTGGTCTTCAACCTGGTGCTCACAATTCAACATAAGGTACACAACATACGTGATCCCAGGGCAAGCTCCATGTTACCATGGCTAGCATTTCTTCCAGTCCTAAGCTGTCTCTCCTAAAACCAAAATCACAAAGCAGGCCTCCAAAGAGCAAGACAGGCAGATTTTCTATTCATCTCCTACTTTGAGAAAACTATTTTATTATTATTATTATTATCATCATCATCATCATCACTATTATTACTATTATTATGCAATAGTTTTTATTTATCTTTAAAAGTCAGAAATTTACTGTTAAATTGAATGTTACAGTTTTAGGCAGTTATAGAATCTGAAGAGCTGCATCTTCAGCAGAATATGGTGAGGCACGCAGGAGTTGGCAAAATTGTATTGTTGCTATAGCAAGTGAAGGCAGAGCCAAGGAAGTGGTGGGTCAGAGAGGATGAAAGACTGAGTCTTTGCTTTATTTCTCTTCTCCCAAACTAACTCTCCCATGAGGAAAGCATCCTCAGTGCAGATGGACAGCTTTGGGAATTCATGCTGTGAATAAGGCAGCATCACCACCTGAAACATTATGTTATTTCTATCCTCCTGGTCTGAATTCCAGGGCTTATTCTATTTTGGGGGGAGCTGTGCAGCACAACCAAAGTGTGGCTTATCTGAAATAATTCAGCCTCAAGAGCAGCATTCAGATTAGGGCAACAGCAGTGCACAGCAAACACATACACTTGGAGAAGTCTCTTACTGTTCTTTGCAAGCCCGAGCAGCAGTGTTCCAGGTGACCTTGTGGTTCACTACCAGGAAGTAGCAGCTGCCCTCATGATGACTCCATCCGGAGGGACATTTCTTTGTGCTTATCTCCTAAAATAGAAGAGGAAAAGACAAACAGACTCCTGCTTACAGTGATCCAGGTCAGTGTGCTAACAGACTGAAAAGGCTGGAGGTGCTGCTTATGGTTTCTCCAGAACTAAGTTGAACTTGATCTTTGGTGTATATCAATAACACTACAGCATTGCCTAAAACGCATTAAGAAGTAAATGCCTGCCAGAGGAGTCTACGACTTATGAGTAGCTTTAAAGGTGACATGACATTTTAGCTCCAAAAATCCTCTAAAGAGACCACATTAGTCTGGACACCATTTTCTGTCCCAGAATATCTAAGTGAGCTAGTTTTACTAACTCCTGCTCATTCTTTCACAGACTTCATTTGCTGCCTGTCTGATGCCCACGTCCCCACAAGCGCCAAGACACTAGTGCTCACATAGTTCATCCAGGAGCACCTTTGGGTGACAGAAGAAAGGCAACCCCAGCAATCAAGCGCTCATCATGTCTCTGGGAATATTTTTTTCTGGTGACAGCAAACCTGACTCTGGAGAACTCTTTTATTCCCTGTACAAGTCAAATAGTTGTTACAGGAAGGTCCTTTGCTTGACAGTCTCACTCATCACAGACTCCATGCTCTGATTCAGATGCATGCTCATGGCAACATATTTACCTTACTTTGGGAATTCCAGAATTTCCATATTATCCCATCACACTGAAATAACTTTTGAGTACTTTCTTCATAATGCAAGAGCCCCTTTAAATCTGGTGTACAGGCCTTTGGAAAGGAGTAAAAGTCCTGGAAAGAGAAATGTCATTTGAACATTTGAAGGGAAATAATAACACAAAACAAATGAGCTACATGAAACAGATTAAATAGGTCTTATATTAAAACTTTATGACATGAAAAGTGTTCAAGGGCTGAGTTGTTAATTACCTGCGTATTGGCTAAACTCAGCTTTGGAGTGGGAAGGGTTAGGCTGCAGATCTCAGAGGTGTTAAATCATTTTGGAAAACAGCATGACTGAAAACAGATGGTGCAAATGCTTATGGAACAAAAGGTTTCATACCTGATGTCTTGAGCTTGGTTCAGATGTCAGTTCTGCCTTATCAGCTTGTGGGATTTCTGTCTTCTTAGAGGAGATGACATTTATCTGTGGTTGTGCTTGGTTAATTACTGACACTTGAGCCCTCTTGTTTGCTTTAGCTGATGAGGTGTCATCCTCTATTTTGAGTGACACCATCCCATGGTACTTCGTTTTACAGTATCACACACATACAAGGAGTACAGGAAAAGGAAAACAGAGGGTTAGCACTTTCAAGCAACTCTTAAATAAACTCAAAAAAACCCCAAACTATTGTAATAGAAATGGTTGCAAATCAAGGGAAAGTGAAACCAAAGAAAAAGAAAGATACATAGAAAAAGAAAGTATTTGTCATAATGAATAAATAAAGTAATAAAGCCTGGATAGAACAGAATCATAAAGAAATCATAGCAATGTCTGAGCAATACTCATAATACTCTTACTTTGAAAACCACATCTGTTCCATTTCTAAATACAGATGAACGATGAACCTGAAAGAGGTAGAATAGCAAAATGAGATGGGCTTATTCATGCATTATAGAAAGAAAAAGACCTTATGCAAGATTTACTACAAGATCTAGGTCACAAATCATGCAATTATATTTGGGTTTAGGTCTTTCTCTTTCAGAATGGAAACTGATAACCTCTGAAAATAGCCATTAAAAAAGACACATTACAAGTGTGTTTATAAACAGGTTCCATTCACTTTTAAGATCACAACAGCAGAATGTTACTAAACCACCTAGCTAAACTGATATAGCTTACACAGGAAAATCAATGGGCAAGTTTCAAATAACTGTTCCCTGTTTAAGCTAATAGTATTTTCAGCTTTACAACTTGAGTGCAGATGCACAGCTTCTGAAGATCTGCCTGGCTCTAGTGACTTCTTTCTTCTAACTGACCCATAATTTAGACAAGATTAGAAGCCGTACAATTGCTGAAGTTGCTTGATGAATGTTTCCTCCCCCAACTCTCTTTTTCTTCCTCTCTTGCATACATGGATCTTCAAAATCAGGACTTTTTTTTTTTTTTTTTTTTTTTTTCCCCCCTCACAGTATTTTTAAATAGCTCTCAGGTCTGACTCACAGCAAACAGGTAGTTTATGGTTATTGTATGGTCAGGTAGGATCACTACAAAATTATGACAACTAAATGAAGATATCAAATCCCAATGAATTCAGAAATCAGTCAATCACTGCACTACTGAAGGGTCTTACTGTTCTGCCATTTCCAGTCACTCTCAGCCTGGTCCTTGACCGATTCGCCAAGCTGTGTTCCTGCTGCGGGTCCCCTACATGTTCTCTTATCCCTTTGGAAGGAGGTGATGGGATCCCTTCCAAGGGAGTGTTGCCAGGCCTGGAAGGTGATGAGGAGCCCGAGGAAACTGGAAGCAGCGTGCCTCTCCCCCAGAAGTCATGCTTGCTTTGGCCAGAAGAATGGGAATAGCTGCACTGACCTGAAAGCATAAAAAATGGCAGATGGTGAGTTCTAACTGCATGAGCAGATAACTGGTCATTTTGACATGGGCACATAAACAGCTTGTCATTAAAAGTTGGATGATTTTTTTTTCACTTGATGTGGTTTGTTCAGACATCCTCATTTGTGTGGTTTGCTTAAGTATAACTATGACTGCAACTACTACCTGTCTATGTGTGTTTTTACGTGTAATACATCTGTCTACCCACAGATCAGAATTTCAAGCAAGCATCTGCTGAAAATACTTATTTTCGTGCACAGATTGGGGTTTGGAGTGCTTATTTTTTGTTCATGGGTAGACAGGTAGCTTTAGCTAACATTGATGATACTTCCATCATGCCCAGACAATTGTTTCTTCAGAAATCCAGGACATTATTGTTCCTACAAACCAGTTGTGTCAGTTAAGTCCTCATTCACATTATGAATGCTAAAGAGAAAAGAGATTTAAAAGGAATTTCTGTAAAATGAAGCCTAATTCATTGCAACACAGGTATTTAAAATATTGTTTCACTAAGCACCCAAAGAAAAAAAACTTTTCAGCTTTCAGAGGACTCAGCTGCTTTGATAGTCATTTCTGGTTTTCTACAGTTGCTTCTTTTTTTGGTGTGATTTTAGGCACACCACATTCGATCACTGAAAAACACAATAATCACATGGACTTAAAAACATAAACTCTGTAATGATTACTGCTCTGTCCTGTAATGTTGTGGATTATGTTTGTTAAGCATTAGAAAATGTATTGCTGAGAGCTGGGTTTAGTTGTTAGGCTTCTTTTTTGAGAAGAAAATAAATATTTTTCAGAGGTGCATAACAACTGTAAACCAAAATGTTTCTTTCCTTGCACCCTTCTCATTTTGTACTTCTTGTTTTCTTCATGCTGTGTTTCCTAAGAGGATGCATATGACTGTGTGAGAGAACAAACGGTCTGCAACTGTCAAGCCTGTTTTCTCTAAAAAGAAATTAAGCATTTTGATCTGAAGGTGAGTGTTAGGAACAACTTGTCATTGAAAATAAGTAGCTACTCAGCCAAGATTCTCCCACCTTCTTAATGATGAAGATCAAAAGTGAATACCTCCTTTTGAGTCCAAAATTTTCACTATAGCTTTTGTCCGGGTGCCAAGAACAGCATTCACAGGGGAGTTCAGAACTACTTCAAAGACTTCATCACCTTCCTCTAATCCATCATAGGTAATTGCTATATTCCACATCTTGGTTGACATTCCTAATGTAAATAAACATTTTAATTACTCTTTAAGTGCTATTTCAATCAATCGGGATGTCAAAGAAATATATTAATTAACATGTCTGCAGCTAGAATGGAGTAGCTGATGCATGCTATTGTGCTCCTACCAACTGACTGGAATCCTGCTGTTCTCCCAAATAACATTAAGTTCGAATTTGTTCCTGGGCAATGATGATTCAGTTCAAGTGCATACACTGTAATAAAAAGCTGCTGTAGATGTGGGAAATGACACTACAATACATAGATTTAGAAATTCTACTACAATTTTGAAGAGAAAATTTATCATATGCTTTTTATCTTGAAAGGTTGCTTTTAGAGATGCAACAGTTCTGCTCCTTTCTATTACAAATTACAGTCTAATGTGCCAATAAATCCAGTCAATTTGCATAGTTGCATATCAGCCTTACTAAATAATTAATAAATAGTACTAATTAATAAATAGAAAACATCTTGAATTTAGGAACTAAGAAATTGATGCCTCGAATGTAACATTTTGGAGGGTCCTTCCCTAAGGTTAAGCTTAAGCAAAGGACTTTTGAAGAGTGCCACCCAAGAAAGACTGTGTGAGGGGCTCAGCCCACTTAACTGAGGCTGGCCAGAAAAGGACAACAGAGTGCAACTCTCCTGTCTATGTTCACAGACCTTTCTTCTATCTTCTAATCTAAAAATAAAAAAATATAAAATCTAATGCTAGATAAAGGGTCTCAGAGAGTGGCTTATTGGTTTCAGAAATTTCGTGTGTTCCAGAAACACCGGAAACTAGGGCAGATTTCCAGCCAAGTTTTTTTACTGCTGTCTGCTGGGTGTTCTCCCTTATCAACCTCTGAAAACTAGACAGCAGTTTCTCATTGTACACCCTCACATAAAATTTGCTTTTCTCAAGATGGGCTGTAGTGGCATATTTTGAAAATAATCGGATTTGTAACTTAAAGCTGCAAGTTTTCCTGTGTGGTAGGCAAGCAGAGCTGGGCTATATATCAGTTCATCCATGGGATGCAGTGCTACTTAATCTCTGTAGCATGCATTGCCTTTTTTTCAAAATAAAAACTCAAATCCTAAAGTAAAAATCCCCAGGCTTTGGCTGGAAGTGACATTATATTCCCCATATTGGTTTATCAAACACAGCTAAGCACATAGACAAATTTTTACCATTAAGTACATGCCATTTATTTCAGCCTTTCACAGATGTTATATTTTGTCTCCTCTGTAGTCACTGTGACTTTCTGCCATTGAAATCTTACTGCTGGCAGTCTTGAGATAACCTCTGCTGGCACTGAAGGCAACATCCCCGGAGACCTGTGCGGAACCCATTTTATAGACTCAAATATATCCTGGACTATGCCAACAGGATGTGTTCCAAAAACCTCACACTTGCATATGCAAAGCAAATGGGTTTTCATTCACAGATAATCTATTTATATTTGCAAAACAAAGTTTTTCAGAGGAAGTTGAATTTCTGAATGGTAAGTTGTGAAATTCTCACCTGGACTGTTTTTTTCCATAGACCCAGGGAGATACCCAAAGCACAATAATAATAAATTGTGTAGAGCAAAGGAAACTTTTTTCAGTATCTTCACATCTGTATTCATTTTTACTATTGATTTTCCTCCAGAAAAAAAAAAAAAATCTCCTTTTGATAATAGGATTACTATCATTTCTTGCTACTTACAGCCTTAGCTAAGGTCAGACTGCTGTTCTGATTAGAGTGTAAGCAGTGATAAGGTCTGACAATTTTCAGGTTATTTTACACCTTTCTGGTCTTGGTTACCTTGCATAACTTAAGTTGCACTCAGTTTTGTCTAAATTTGACCAGTGTCCTGGTCAAATCCTTACATCTTTAAACCATCTCTCAGCTAGTCCTAGCTGTGAGGAGAACAGGAGACATAATTTCAGCACTTTTGATATTTTAAATGATGTAAAGGGACCATATACCGTCTCACCCTAAGTAAGAAGGATACTAATTCACAAAGGAGGCCCACTGCCCTTCCAGGAAATAAGCCCAAGTGCCTTTAATCCTATTCAGCTCCTCTAGCTACAGATGTATGGTAGGTTTCACTCTCCAAAACATGAGTTTACACCTCCAAAATCAGTGAATTAATTTTAAAATTATTCAGTGCACTAGTTCATACCTGGATCAAACTGAACAAGCTTGGAGGGAGTCACTGTAAAGTCTTTTCCCAGCACAGCGGATATTTCATTGACCTGAGAAGAAATCAAACAGTAAATGCCATGCTGTGACATATTTCAACAAACCACTGAATTCTGCTGTGTGTTGAACCTCCTGTGTGCCTCTCCATGCAGTCTCAAAAAGGTATACCAACATATACTTGTGTTTAGGCTGAAGAAAAAGATAAAATCCTAAAGAATGACTCTTCTGATGTGAAACTGTAATTCTTGCCTTGTGGATGGTTTAAAACTTGTCACTTGCTCATCTTAAAATTTTGCCTCATCCCCTCTCAGATTGCTACTTGACAGCATCAGGTAACCCAGCTGTTCACCATGCCTCGTGACCCAGCCACACCTGGGTACTGGACAGGCACATCATGCCATCCTGAAAGAACACCAGCAGCCTGGCCTCATTTGCCCATTTAGCCCTTTGTTAGGTCTTAGAAGAAGTGTTTGCACACAGAGTTGTCTGTCAGCCCCAAAGACTGGGATAGGCATGAACCCATACATGAATGGGGACTTCAGCAATTCCCTGAGAATTCCTGCCAGAGGACACCAGCTTCCACACTGCATTCTTCATGCTGGGATCAATTTCTCTGGTCTTTTTAGGTGAGTTACAATCAGAGTAGAGCCACTGGAGTCCATGAAGGATAGGACAGGACAACCCCTGATGAAGTCAATGGCAAAATTTGCACTTTCTACTGTAGAAAAAACACTCAAAACTGTGTTTTCAATTAGGGCTGTAATCCTGAAAAGCAGTGAGGTAAACTTTTAGTATTTTTCTAGCAAGGGAAGCTGGTAAAATCCTGTAATTTCTGTTTCAAGAGGAAATATAAAATTTGTGAAATCAAGCTGCACAAAACCTGGTTTACAAAATTATAACCTGCAGCATTCAGTCTAATTTTTCTGACATAAGACAGAGGCTGTTACTGTAGTTACAGAAGGGGTTTTGGGCTATTTCCTAGGCTGATGGCAGTGGGGGGGAAGAATGGGGAAGGCTGCCATGACTGTGGAGCTGATGCTCCCAGAGCTCCTAGGCTACTCCAGCTTGAGCAGAAAAATGAGAGGTCCCAAGGCCCCAGGTTGCCCAAAGGCTGGATTTCAAAGTGGTAAATCCTGGAAACCCAGCTTCTGAGTGCAGTGATGGAGGAAACTGCCAGATCTGTCACAGAAGGTCGTCAAAACCAAAAAAGCTCCAAAAAAAGCTTACGGTTTTGATTCACTGGCATTTCTACTTAAAAATCAGAAAGTTTTGTCAGAAAATTTTCAACCATCTGTACTAGCAAGGACAATGTCCCAGTAAGCGAGGTTGGAATTGCATGGCCTCTTTGCTGATAACTGAAATACCTTTTAAGTCTGAGGAGGAAATTAGCAGGCTCCACTAATCATTATTCAGTTTCCAGTTAGGAGCTTGGCTTTTAGCTTTACCTTCACAGCAACAAAGGCCAACTCTGCAGAGTGTCCTGCCCTGGTGATTTTCAGAGACACCACTCCCACGCTCTCACACACCTCATATTCGGTCTGCTGCATTTCAATCCGAGACCACCGCAGCTCCAGCCTGTGGGAGAGGTGGGAAAGGCCAGGGAAGCACAGAGACACCCCTGCCACCCCCGCCCCCTGCTGCTCCCAGGCCAGGTCAGGAGACATTTCTCTCCCAGTTGCTGATTTAGCCAATACACATACTGATGTTTCCAAATCAACACACTTGTGTGATTTGTCTGATTAGAAAAGGGGAGAAGCAGCCCTGGTCTACCTGAAACCAGGGCTGACCCTTGTTTCTGAACCAGAGGGGTTCTGCAACAGCTTCGAGAAGGGCAGAGTTTGTCTGTAATGCCAAATAGGCAAAGACAAGCTGTCTCTGTTTCTTTCTGGTTCCCTTTAACCCTGTAGTTTTATTTTCCTTTCACTCCTCGATATTTTCTCTGCAACATCCTCCTTTCTTCCCAGCTTCCTTCATCTATCCTCTAACTCTTCTCTAGTGTATAGGACACGCTCCAGGGCTTCACCAGCTGTATGAGTGTCCTCCCCACTCCCTTTACTTTAATTCTTTGTGTACTTTGCTCTTCAGCTGTGGAAGTGGCTGAGTCCCAAGGAATCTCATACACTGAATTTTAGAATGGTTTATAGGGGATGTGACCGAACTTCGGAGGATTGCGTGCTGCACAGGGTAGCCAATAAAGACCTCACTTTTTAGAAGCTGTGATAAAAATTAGTGAGAGTTGGAGAAGAATGAAAGAGAGTGTAAAGAAGGAAAATTACCTGTGCCACTTACAAAACATTTTGAACCTTTCTAAAACATACTTCTAGACATTTCAGGGTTGACTAGCTTTAACATCAGTGGAAATTTCCTGTTGTCCTCCCGCATCCTCTGATACTCGCTTTGTGTTTATTTAGAAGCTGATTTGCTTCATTTTTGCTAAAGAGGATGCATGTGCCAGATGTAGACCAGCAGCATTCGGATAAAAGCTGGGATTTAAATTTAATAATATAAATGCAGAAATCAAACTTGTATTTTGAACAAGTGACCATTAGGTGATAAATTGTTTAAAAAAAAAAATCTCTCACCAGTGTTTAAATCCAATATTGAAAATCATAGAATCACAGAATCACAGAATGGTTTGGGTTGGAAGGGGCCTTAGTGGTTATCAAGTTCAAACCCCCCTGCCATGGGCAGGGACACCTCCCACTAGACCAGGTTGCTCAAAGCCTCATCCAGCCCGGTCCTGAACACCTCCAGGGATGGGGCATCCACAGCTTCTCTGGGCAACCTGTTCCAGTGTCTCACCACCCTCACAGTAAAGAATTTCTTCCTAATGTCTAGTCTAGATCTTCCCTCTTCCAGTTTAAATTAATTAACCCTCGTCCTGTTGCTACATGCCCTTGTAAAAAGTCCCTCCCCATCTCTCCTGTAGACCCCTTTCAGGTACTGGAAGGCTGCTATAAGGTCCCCCTGGAGCCTTCTCTTCTCAAGACTGAACAACCCCAACTCTCTCAGCCTGTCCTCATAGGGGAGGTGTTCCAGCTCTCTGATCATCTTCATGGCCCTTCTCTGTTTCCTTAAAAGCCAAATTCCCTTTTGTTCTGACGCCCAGTGCAGCTAACAGGGTAATTCTACTTCTCTGAAACTCCTATTTTCCATACAAAAAGTGCTTTCTCTTTGCTCTCTTCATAAAGCTGTGTTATGCATTGCTATTCATATACAAGAAGCCACACTATCGCACGAGGAGTGGCAGCCTTTTAACTGTGGTTTTAATATCAGTGCACCTGTGAGCCAGCACAGTGCATCTGAGAAGTGCTCAGGCTGGCGGTGTTCAGATGTGTTTGTGTATGGGGACATCTTTTGGCACAGCCCTTAACTGCTGAATTGCTGTCTCTGGCTCTGCTCAGTCCGGGTCCTCTCTAGAACGCAGGGAAGTGCTCTGCAGAGGAGCTTGGCCCTTGGAGTCACCTCTCTGCTCCTTTTCACTCACCATGAGTCCTGGTTTGTGAGTAAACAGTTTAGCCCAGGAAAATAGCGTTAGTTATTTTTCACCATTACTTCTAATTAAATAAATTGATTGAACATTCAGCTCTATTTTCAGAAATAAAGAGAAATGTTGCCCTTGTTATGGAGCTACTCCCACTTCTGGCCTTTATCATCACAGCACAGTTCAGATGATACCTCAGTCTCTAATTCATATAAATTAGGCTTATCATATGTCACAAGGAAATCTTGATAATACGCCTAATATAAATTTTGTCATTGGATAACAAAGAAGATGCTGTGTGCCCTCCACCTTCTTTCAGTGCTCCTTTGCAGAAGTATGGCTCTCACAGCTTTTACTGCTTGAGATCATCCCCTCCATCATGATCTTAAGCTTGTGAAAAAAGTATTGCCATCAGCACAGGGCAAAAGTGAACTCCAGCTTCAGGGCCATGTAGATGAAGCAACAATCCCATCCCTCAGCACCCAGCTTCTCAGATCTCCAAAGGTCCAACAACTACTTAAAGTAAACTCTGTCATATTTTTCTGTGAGGCCCCAGAGGCCCTTGAGAACTGTCCCAGTCTAACCTGGAGCTAGCTTTTGAATTTCACCCTCCTGAGGGGAAGAAACCTTCTCTACTCTTCAGCAAAAGCGATGGCAGTTTGAGTCATAGCTACAGTCACATCTGCATGGCTTCAAGCCTGTCACAGGTTTGTCCGCCCTGGTGGACATTGCGCACAGCACACTACAGGACACACCGCTGAGGGTCAGAGTTACCTTTGGGGTACTGCGGAGTTTCCATTAGCATCTGTGACTTGAAACTCCAAGTGGTCTGAATTCACTTCCTGTGATGGATTGATGACGTAAAGTATAATTTTGCTGTTTAAATCCTTTTGGCTAAACCTTTCCTGAATAAATCCACCTGGGAAAGAAGAGAAACACTCAGGTGAAGCCCATTAATAAGAACCTTGTAGCTCACATAGACTGTTTTCAACTTTTATTTTCATTGAATGCTTAGAAAATTTGAACTTACAGAAACATGATTTTATAGCTAAACAGCAACACCCCAGCTTGTTATAAGCCCCAGCCAATTTCTTCCCATGTGACATGTATATCAAGTGGCCAAGTTCAATATTCATCATTTTTTCTTGACACAAACAAAAAATAGTTTCTCAATGGCAGCTATTAATCATCTCTAACTCTTTGAGGATCCATGATGAACCTAAGACCCAAGCTTTAGTATAAAAGCTTTCTAACTGCATTCAAACCTTGCCCAAAGTTTACTAGGAAATTTTTATTTCCTCTATCAAGCAAACATTAACAGGGTAGGTTTTGGAATCTGGTCTGGTATGTCCCAAAATACAGAGATTATAGAAGACAACACCTGTTGTTATGTTTTCCAGGTAGCCGTGATGAGGACCTCGTAAAATCTTAAAGATTATTTTGTCATCTTCTGTATTGGAATCAGATGCCTTCAGGGACCTGGCAGTAATATAGATCCCATAATTGCCATTCTTCAGCAGTTCCACATCAGAAAAGCAATGGAGATGAATAATTTTTGGTGCAATTTTGTCCAAATGATCCACCTAAACCAAAGTTAGACAAATGTATATTCATTTTACAGCATCAGGATATTCTCTGTCCTACTTTTCTAAAAGCATAGCAGCCTGCTCAGGGTGGCAACAACAACTTTGACTCACAGTCTGCTCCAGAAGAAGTCTGATCTCCAGGTAACTGCTACTTCCCATGAGAGGTTCCCTGGCCCAGATTACCCAGTTGGTCGCTGCATGCAACAGGATACAGCACATGCTGGGGAGGGCAATGCAAATTCTGTGTACCTCTGCCCTGATGTCCCACACTCCCCACAGTCCCACTTTTTGATTATCCTCATAGCAAATGAAAACTCCAGCAAAGGTTTCTGACATCTATTTTATAACAACAAGCATGGGAACATAAGGATTATGGTTATCACAGTCATAGACCTGTCTCCTTGAATCTCTGCCACCTTTCACAACTTGTGATGAATCTTCTAGCCCCCTGCAATGGTTGTTGCTGTTTCCATATCTCATCTTCTGTTGAAATGACATTCCTCGCTCATCATATAACTTCAAACTTTGTCATCAGGAAAAGTTAGGAGCCTCTTCATTAGTAGCAGTGTTTTGAAACATACATAATTTTGACATAAAATGCAACCAGGCATGCTTTGCATACTGAAACATTCCAGACAGATACATATGAGAGGTCATAGGAGAGATGTCTGAGCCTATGACACAGTGGGAAGAACTTAAAAATGAGGGAAATGGGGAGTGAACAGAAAGATCCTAGTAAAGGAAGGAAGAATCAGAGCAGGCATCTTACAAAAACTTCCAGAAGGAAGAGAGGCTGTCCAGTTGTGGAAGTGAAGTGTCTGTAAGTCAAGATTCCCGTGACATAAAGATCAACAGTCATCCTAGTATCCCTCAGATACTAGTGGGTCAGGTACTAAACGGGAAAGCTGAGCAGGAGGAAGTTCATTCCTCCCCATAGCTGGGCTCAAATTTAGGGTTGAGATTTCTGTGTAAAATATTTTAGCAAACATAGGTATATCAGTATACACTTGCTTGTATTTATATAAGCAGGATGTCTTTCTTCTCTTAAATGCAGTCTCTCTCTTTGCACTCTATAAAAATCTTTGCCCGAGTAGTGCATGGTGGCAAGTAGTTAATTCTCCAGGTCAATTATTCATGGAACACAGAAAGCAAACATTTTAGCTGACAAATACCTCAGTTAAATCATAGACTGGAGCAAACACCAGTTCTCATCAAAATTACTACATTTTCCAACTTTTCATGCCATGTATCTCTGTTAAGCAGGCCTGTAGTCACACTTGCCTGAATGGTGAATGCCACTGGCTCGCTCTGCACCCTCCCATTCACGATGAAGCCTTGATTTGTCCTATCTGTTGCAACAAATGTAAATCTGTCAATCTGGGAATCCCCACCGCCATGCTTGTATGCAACATCCCTGTTGTCCACATCTTGCTGGGTGAAATTGTACTGCAGCAGCACAGCCCCTCTATAATAGAGATGACCATATTGGGGGAGCTGAGCCAAGAGGAAGGTAAGGTTTTCTTTGGCAGTGTCTGGGTCTGAAAGCTGCAGGACATCAGGAGAAAGGACTGCCATAGCGCCTTCCACTAATCTTAACCCTGTGTTCCTAGATAGTGTGGGCAAAGCTTGGTCGACAGCCTCCAAGGAGATCATGAATGTCCCGTGTTTATTCCTCAGTCCATTGCTGATGATGAATCTGGCAAAGAGAGGCAAGGTAGTCTTCAGCATGTGCTCTTGATTCACCATGTACTGAAATGAAACGATAATACACACCTTTACTACAGGACTTGCCTCTGTTGATGCTGCAAAAGTAGTAGAGCTGGTTTGAGCTCAAACCCAGACTGTGGGTGGGGTGGATATATAACTTAAAAACATTAAAACAGATTGCCAGGTATATGGCAAGAGTTTCAATGCATCTGCAGGAATCTGAGTAGATGCCAGAGGAATGGTTTTGAGTGTGTACCCAACAGTCTTAGCAGTCATAATAGAGCTGATCTAATCTTCTAGCTCAGATACAGATGGAGAGGATCTAAAATGATGGCCTGGCTGGGGCGCTTATTGCACCCTCTGGCATACATACACTTGTTTGAACACATCTGTACGTATATCTTCACTTGGTTACCTGGCAGTGGCAGCTGTCAGTGAAAGTGCTGGCTTTGTCTACAGCTTACAGAAAGATGTGTGTAAAGTGCATAGTCTGCCTGTGCAATGTTTTTTTTTCTGTTCACCGTTACAAGCCTTTTTTACACAGTAGCTCCAAAACTATCTTAAAAAGCCAGCTGGAAAAGGATCCATCCTTATCTCACTTTATGGGTTTGTTTAGGCACTAATTGTATCTGTAAATTTCTGTATATCAGAATCAGAGCAACTGATTTATGTTTCTTTACAAAACTCAAGTAAGGTTTCACTGAAATACTAAGACTTTGTGGAAATCTTGAACAGAAGTATTCAAGATGCTAGGGTAATTTTAAAAATGTAGATGTCCATACCATGTATTTATCAAACTGTCAGACATGCAACATTCTTACTCCATGCTGGGAATTTCTCTTAATAGCAGAATAGTTTCTTATAGTTCTCTTGCAAGCAGCAATATTTTTTTAGATATACTAAAGATCTGATTATGCTCTACACTTAATTTTTCTTTCCTAAACAAGAGAATGATAAAGGTGCACAAGGCTAGAGAGAAAATCTAGTGGAAGCCTACCAGCTGGGTACGTGCTTTTGCCATAAAAGTGACAGCATGTTCTGCAGAAATTTATTATCAAATTTAGTTGTGGATGAAAATATAGAGAAAACCAATCTTTTAGCCTTCAAAATCCATCCTATCTTTCATTGACAAGGTTATTACTTAAGTACTTTTTCTGAAAGCAATTACATTGCACAGTGTCATGCCTGTAACAAAACCTTTTGAGGTTATATAAAACTAAAAATTGCTTTGAAAATGTTCCACAATACTTCATGTCCCATCACTATATAGTACATAAGAGTTACCTTTCTACAGCGCTTTCTGTGGTTACACTGCGTAGTACCTGCAAAAGCATCTTGAAGAGTGGTTTTCACCCAGGTTAGTTCTGCCTGGGACAGTACAGAATCTGCTTTGCAAATAAATTTGCTTGTGGTGGACTATTCACATTCCCTGATCTTTCTTTTTCTCCCACCCTCCAGTGCCCTGAACTTTGAATGCACATACAGCTACATTTATGGACATGGGACAATATCATGGGACAGTTATTTCAGACAAGATGAGGGCCAGCCTAGCTGGCTGCTTTCCACCTAGCATGCCTCTACCATATGTAAGTGAAACAAGGAATGGCTGACATTTAGATTATCTGCTGTCTCTTGCTCTCTTGACTGCAGACCTCAGAGAACTATTTAAATAATTACAGAGTAAGAACCTGGCCTATTTTTGCACGCCTTGAACATAAGTGACCTTCAGTAAGTCATGGAGTAGCTTACTGTGTCACACAGACTGTCCATCTAAAACTCCTCACTGCCTTCACCAGGACTGGATGATTAGGGCTTGATCAAGTTGTAAACTGGCAACATGCCATGAAACAGATGGGAGTGAGCATAGGCAGACCAGAGACTATATAGCAGTTAGAAATATGTTTACTGAGAATGGTATTCCCAGCTGGGAACATAGAGACATCTGTCTGCACTGACCTAATGCTATTGTGCCAATGGTAAAAGGGTTGTGCTATTAGCAATCTAGCTGAAATCGAATACAGAACTAGAATAATGTTGACAAATACTATGCTAAGAAAAAAAAAAAAAAGGCAAAACATGTTCAGTCAAGACCTTATCCATCTCTCAAAAAGCCTGAAAGATTGCTGGAGAAGTGAGTTTCCTCTAGTTCTTTTGATGCTGTAAAATAATTTGAATGATGTCTCAAACCGTGTTTAAGTGCAAGACTTAGATAATTCCGTTCATGAAATTGAAGATTTGCCCAGTCTTCAACAGAAAAACAGATAGGAGCAAACCTCCTGTTTGTGTATGGATTTACGATGCAAATGTCCTACGCCACTTGATTTCACAGATGATGAAGCTGCCTGTGTCCAAGACGTCCTTTTTTCTACACTTTCGGAGATTTTGGTTGTTTGTTTCTGGTTTATGGCTGCTTCATCTTTCCCTTAGGAATGGAGAGCAGCCAATATTCTCCTCACTCTCTTAAATTTAGGGGACAACTCTCAGGCACAGTTAGGAGAACATGTTGCATGGTTTGATTTCACCATTACCAACATTTCATGATTTCTGCAGTTTGAGGGCAAGAGAGTTGGCTGTAGGACCTACCATCTGTCATGGCATTTAAAAGACAGAAATGGAATTACAAATAGTGCCAGCTCGTTACAAAATCAAGCCAGTGTGTCAAAATGGAGGACATTAGCATGTTCTTTTAGTATCCTGCTGCCAGCATCTGATGTCAGGTTGCTAATCACTTGAAGTCATCTGTCCAAACAAGCACTGCCAAATCTTTCTTCCAGGCCAGCAGTACCAAACAATACAGGCAAATTTATGTCTGAAGGAGGTACTTCAGAGGAAAGTAAAAACCTGATCAGTTAATCCCCCCCTTCTATAATTAACCATATAATTAAGTAACCATTCCTTGTTTAAATAATAATATTCTGCCACAATATTTATATGTCTACACAAAACCAAATTCTTTTCCCAATTATAACATCAAGGAATATCAATTATTGTGATTAAAATATTTAATATCAATATTTATTAAAGCATCATAACCTTATTTTTATAAGGCTGACTTTCTAGTTTGGTTCTAAGCCATTGGTATTAATAGAGAAGACATTAGATGTATCCACATGCACAGTTTCCCTAGAATTGTTTGGTCTTCTTTCATTAGTGTGGTATAGAAGACATACTGATACAAACCACTCCTACTCTGCCCAACCTAGGGTTGGCAGGACTGCAACCTCTACTTGTCTAAGGTGATTCTACTTTAGTCATAGGATTTCACAATTGAGAAACATAAAGCCAGAGAATATTTATTCAATTTTTCCCACTACAAGTGAATCAGAGAAATCACCTAACTAGAATTTCCACCACACTGAATTCGGTGGAAGGCATAGTTTACAATGTTTCAGCTGAGTTCAAGATCCTTAGGGGGTCAAAGAGGGTACACAGCAAGGTCTGGACCTCAAGAGAGCAGACTTTGACCGCTTCAGAGACCTGCTTGGCAGAGTGTCATGGGACAAAGGAGGAAGAGGGGCCCAAGAAAGCTGGTAAGTATTCAAGGGCCATCTCCTACAAGCACAGGAACAGTGCATCCCCAGAAAGAGGAAGGCAGGCAAGAATGCCAGGAGGCCTCCGTAGATGAACAAGGAGCTCCTAGACTCACTTTGGCACAAAAATAAAATATATTGGGAGTGGAAGCAAGAACAGGTTAGCTGGGAGGTATGCGAAGAGGCTGTGCGAGCAGCCAGGGATGATGTTAGGAAACCTAAAGCCCAGATAGAATTAAATCTAGCCAGGGACATAATGGGGAATAAGAAGAACTTCTACAAGTATGTTGGTGATAAAAGGAAGACTAGGGAAGATGTAGGTCCTCTCCAGAAGGAAACTGGAGACCTGGCCACAAGGGATACAGAGAAGGCTGAGGTGCTCAATGACTTCTTTGCCTCGGTCTTCATCGGCAAGGGCTCTGGCCACGCCACCCAAGTTGCAGAAGATGAAGGTAAGAACTGGGAGAAGGAAGATCTGCGCACCGTAAGTGAAGGTCAGGTTCAAGACCACCTAAAGAACCTGAAGGCGCACAAGTCCATGGAACCTGACGAGATCCATCCGTGGGTCCTGAGGGAAGTGGCAGATGAAGTTGTCAAGATATTAACCATCATATTGGAAAGCTCATGGCAGTCTGGTAAAGTTCCCATTGACTGGAAAAGGGGAAACATAACCCCTATTTTCAAGAAGGGTAAAAAAGAAGACCCAGGAAACTACAGGTTGGTCAGTCTCACTTCTGTGCCTGGCAAGATCATGGAGTAAATCCTCCTGAAGGCTCTACTAAGGCACATGGAAAATGAAGGAGAGGTGATTAGCAACCAGCATGGCTTCACCAAGGGCAAGTCATGCCTGACAAACCTGGTGGCCTTTTATGATGGAGTTACAGCATCTGTGGACAAGGGAAGAGCAACTGATGTCATCTACCTGGACTTCTGCAATGTGTTTGATGATGTCCCGCATGACATCCTGGTGGCCAAATTGGGCCTACAGGTAACCAGGTTTACCCCAAAAATCCAATTGTCTACATAAATTTCTGAGCTATTGTGGTGTCAGAATAGATAGGTGTACTGTTTTTCAGAATGTTCAAGAACTACTTACGGATTCAAAAAAGCCTGGAACCAAATGAATACGATAAATAACAGACAAGAAAGCAGTTATTTAATACCTAGGTGAACCAGTTTTATCACATTCATCTATAGCAGGAAACCAAAGGAAAATTCCACAAAGTATATCCTTAGTCCTTCTCCCCTACTTAAGTCTTAACAGATGTGTATGTTTGGGTGTTATAACAATATTGAAGCTATTATCATTGAGTGAATGTGGCTCTGGATACAGTTTTGGCATCAATTAGAAGATGCAGTTATTATCAAAGCAGTCACAACTATGTGTATTATAGTAGAAATATCTTTGCTATGTAAATATTGAGAATTCCCACAGAGCTTTCACCTCTTTTAAATATTTTCTTTTGGTTTGGGTTTTTTAGGGGTTTTTTGTGTGTGTGTTGTGTTGTGGGGTTTTTGTAATACCCAAGAAATGCAAGGGGAAAAGTTTGGGGGGTAGCGTGTTATGCCTTACCTGAATGTGTCTTCAGGAACAACTGCCTTAGTATTGGAAACATAGCAGACTATCTGTCTTGCTACATCCATTTGACTGAAGCTTGTAATGGGGATGCCAGGATAGTTGACATACTCTACTTGTCCATACTGGGGTGGGGAGGTTATCACATAGAGGAGCTCCTCTGGCTTGTCAGTGCCATCCAGTGCAAGGAGGACATCAGTTGTAATGCAGCTCCGATCCCCTTTTGGCACTCTAAGAGGTTTAATGAAAACAGCAATGTCTCCTGCAGGATAGACAAAACAACACTAAAATAGTCATATTGGATTGTAAGGTGATCTCTTATGCATTATGTAGCCACATGCAAGCAATAACCAGCACAAAAATCATAGGACTGTTGGATGATAGGGAAATTCAGGCTGGAAGGGACTTCAGGATGTCTCTAGTCCAGCCTTCTGCTGAAAACTGTCTCAGCCATGAGATCATCCATAACCAGGTTGCTCAGGGTTTTATCCCATGGAGGCTTGAAAACTTTAAAGGATGGAGACCACCCAACCTCTCTGGACCCTTGTTCCAATCATAGCAGTCAGGTTAACTTGGTCTGACTTAGGTTTCTAATAGGGATGCAATAAAGGAAGAAAGACCGTAAGACTAGAGCATAAACCTGCAAGACAGAGCTGTTCTTGAGCAGTGTTTTGCCTTCCTCATCACATTCTTGCCATTTTTCTGTGCTTTGATTTACTCAGACATAAAGCTAGTTTCAGAAGGATATTTTCAACTCTATTTGAAAAGTAGATGGGAGTCCTGGGAGGCAAGGTGCAACACCTTGCCTTAGGCAGAGCCTTTTCAAATCCTAGGACCATGTCTTCACCAGCAGGAAGATCAGGACTCTAAGCAGCAGTGAAATCCAAGCAGACAGACTTTCAGGGTCTGCAGGGAGACTTGCCAAGGTCCTACATAGTGCTCAGAGAAGGATCAAGACATGTACTCATCTTTGTTTCAGAAACAGGCACTCAAGTTTGGCAGATCTTTACCTTTTTCCATGTCCTTGATATTTACAAAGAAGTCCACAGCTGGGGATCTGTTGTGCCCATCCCACAGAAAAAATGTGAAGCTGTCTTGGGTTTTGGAACCTATAGCTGCTGTATGGACATATCTCACAAGGTTCATATCCAGTTCTTCCTGAGTGCAGTTCATTCCAGTTTGAAGAGTCATCCAGCCTTGGCCTACCTAGAAAGAATAAATGTCCTTCATTAAACAGATAGTCTCCCATGAATCCTCCCCAGTTAATTGTGTTTGTCTGCAGTTATGCACACTGCTAGTGGCAGCTGCCTGGTTTCCCTTCTAAGCTATAGACTCTTTCCTCATAGTGTGGTTTGAAGGGCAGTAAATATCTGGAGTTGTTCCCAAGCAGCTATAAGGCTGGAGAAGATACAGTGATCATTAATAAAATTGAATAAATGGAGTTTAGCCACTTTTACTCCAGGAAATATATTTCTACACACTTCTCAATGAGATACCAACCAGATGAAAATGAAATGGTTCTTGACCCAGCTTATGGTTTCTATTTCTTAATTTCACAAAGCTGCTCTTGGTTCTATCTAAAACCATATCTAAAGGGCTATCAGAAAGGAACCTATGAGGAAGTTCAGGGAGGCACAGAAATTCAGAGCCCCAGAGGTCCTCTGATGGAAAAATGTGAATTGTCCAATAAAACTTCCTGCTTTTCAGAAGATAGCATAGTACCCTGTATGGGACTGATCTGTGTATTTGACATTTAGCCTGCAGTAACAGTGTCACTGGCTTTGGAGCAAAGGTTATCAAGGACAGAGCTCAAATACCTGTGGGCACTATCTATGTTCAAACTGACAGACTCTAGTCAGTGGCGGTCTCTTGTCTGTGTGTGGGACCTCTTTAATTCACAAGTCGCACATGATCCACAGATT